GGAAATTGTTATTGAGTATGTCAATGCTGTTGTAATGAAATGCTTCTTCTAAGTATGTGGCTATTAAATAAATAATTAACTGGAAAAAATGTTCGCTTTACATCTGCCTTGTCTAATACAGTTAGTTGCCACTAACCACATGTGTCTATTATTCCCTGGAAATATGGCAGAAGTGACTGAGGAACTGAATTTTTAACTTTCTTAACCAGTTAACTTAAGTAAGCATGTGTGCTGGCTACCTTATTGAACAGCCAAACTTATGTAAGAACCAGTGTGACTCCTTGAGGTGTGTTCGCTTTACATCTGCCTTGTCTAATACAGTTAGTTGCCACTAACCACATGTGTCTATTATTCCCTGGAAATATGGCAGAAGTGACTGAGGAACTGAATTTTTAACTTTCTTAACCAGTTAACTTAAGTAAGCATGTGTGCTGGCTACCTTATTGAACAGCCAAACTTATGTAAGAACCAGTGTGACTCCTTGAGGTGGAAGGAGGAGGTCTGTTCCTCATCACAGATGGTATTACTTAGGCTTCAGCTATACGTACAGTTACAGCCCAGGTTTTGCTAATCTAATTCTTGGTTTTCACATAAAAAATATTCACAGGTAATTCTGTACATGCAATTTGTTCGCAGAACACACTTGGGGGACGGTAGATTGAGTCTCTTATTTGGTGTTTTGGCTGCTGGCTTCTGCTACAAATTTGCTTCCTTTACACCAGTGGTTTTCAAGCTGCATTGTGCATCAGAATCACCCAGAAAACTTCTCTGAACCCAGCTTGTTGGACCCCACCCCCTAGTGGTTCTAATTCAGTAGGACTGAGCTGAATTGTGGAACTGCACGGCTAACAAGTTCCCAGGTGATTTGGAGAATACCAGACTTTGAGAATTGTGGCAGCCTACCAGGCACCATGTGCTCATTTCAGGAACCTCATTTTTGTCTTAATCCTTCTAACGTGAGTGAGTACTTTCCCTATTTATTTATTTATTTATTATTTATTTATTTATTTTTATTCTATGTGTACAAGTGTATTGCCTGCATGTGTGTAAGTGCACCCGTATCATGCAATGTCTGCAGAGGACAGAGGACGGCATCAGATCCCCTGGAACTGGAATTACAGACTGTTGTTACCATGTAGGTGCTGGTATTGGAACTAGGGTTTCTGCAAGGACAGCCAGTGCTCTTAGTCACTGAGACATCTCTCCAGCTCTGTATTTTTCTTTATTCCTTTCAAAATAATCCAGTTTGTCTAGGCCTAGAGACTTTCTGAGATCCTGAGAGAGCACCATGGATCCCAGTATCAGTGATCTTACTTTTGGACATCCCTATTGCTAACCATTTGCTTGTCTGGAATCCTAATGCATGGTTTCCTTGATGTCAGATTCTCCTTGACTTTGTCTGGTTGCTGTCCCTGGACTTATCTTTCACCAGATGCTTCCTTATAGGTGTTATTATTTTGCTTAGGGATGAAATTAACCAAAATGCTTTTCACATCTGTATAAGTTGTTTTAGTAACCTAGCCTGGTTCCCCACCTGGCCTGTCTTTGGCCAGATGAGCTCATTTTTAGAGACATTATCAGTATATTGTACCTGCCAAGGAATTTGTCCTGGTTTGGCATTTTTTCCACCAACAACTCGAATGAAGTCCTTAGATGATTCAGTGCTTTGAGTGCTGTTATCCAGCATATCAATTTCAGTAGAATTTTCATAGTCCATATTAGAAAAAACAGTCTCAGCACGGGTGAGCTTCATAGAAATGTCTGGAACTGAAACTCTTCCACATGGAAATGGCACTACAAAAATAGAAAAATAAGAGTATTTGGAGATTTCTCAGTAGCAAAGGGAACTGCATTACAAAAATTGAGACTGAGGCTCATTGCTGTCACTTTGGAGAAGCAGGATTGTCAACTTTAAAAGATGTAATGAGTGAATATAATTTCAAACTAAAAGTTTGGTTGTATTATTTTCATGGAAAGTTTTCAAAACCTTCTGGGGGAGAATGTTTTGCTCTGGATTCTACCATCTTTATGATAGGAAAATAGGGATGGGCATGGCCTTGAATCCCAGCACTCAGGAGGCAGAGGCAGGCGGATCTCTGTGAATTCAAGGCCAGCTTGGTCTACATAGCCAGTTCCAGGCCACCTGTGGCTACAGGGAGACCTTGTCTCAAATAGACCCCCCCCCCCCCGCCAAAAAAAAAGGTAAAATAGGTGGCTGAAATCAAACTGGGTAAGACATTATGTGACTGAATTACTTTCTATTATTTTCTTAATTAAAGTCTTTCTCTGCCCCCCAAAAGGAAATATGGTAAAGGGTTGCTGAGTGATGCTCATGTTAGGACAAGTGAAAAGGGACTTCTGTTATTTGTCAGTAAAAGGATTTCTTTTGTGCACTAGAATCCACTACAGATTCCAAAGTTTATTTTAGTTTGTTTTGGTATTTTTGAGACAGGATCTCTTTTGTAGCCCCAGCAGGCCTGGCCTTTCTGTGGAGAACGGGCTGGTCTCGATCTCATACAGATCCTCCTGCTCTGCCTCCAGAGTGCTGGGATTAAAGAAGTGTACCACCATTCCCAGTTGATTTTAGCTATTTTTGAGGATAGATCATTGTGATTCAATTATTTGGCTGTCAAAAATTTACCAAATAGGTTACTAATATGATTATCAAAATTGTATTTACTTGGAACATGACCACCTGTTTTTTCCTTGGGTTTATTTATTTCCTGATGTAATCATCTGCTAAAATATTGGGGACTATCAGAATGGAAATCTGTAGCCAAACAAAGTCACACTTCATTTTCATTTTTTACTTTCCTCCTAGCCATGTTCCTCATAACAGACATTTCTATAGCAACCAGCTGTAGCTAAGTATCATGAAGACAGCTGTGGTTGAGAAAACAGGAAATTAATTCAAAATACTTATGTATAAATATACACAATCAACAATGGCTTGGGGAAAGGGGCCATTATCTTTGAAAAGGTAGGGTAGTTTATTTTAGGTTTGGCCTACTTATTCTACTAAAGCTAAGCTATATTCAAATATACCTCTTAATAGCTGGAGGTACTTCTGGATCCTTTTTCTCTCTTCAAACATAGAAGAGTTTGTAAGGACTTAGATACTATGCCATCTGTCTTCACTGGAAGTTGACTTTTTAAAGTTCAGTACACATAGATGCGCATGTGCACAGAGATACACTTCTAAGACAAGCTATGTGTAAGGCAGTATAAGTGAAGAGTCTGGCAGAGAGACAGGCCAGCCCTGAAGCATTACAGATGCTTCCCTTTACTTGCTGCAGATATGCACTTGGATTCCTCCTCTTTCTTCAGTATCAAACACAGTTACAGAGAATGGTTCATGATTTTATGTGCCAATTTAATGAAATATCTGGATTTGGAAATACAAAAGAAACTGTATGTGGCTTGCTTCAAAATTGTGCTTTTTGAAAATTGTGTGTGAGGGGTATGTGTGTGTGCAGGTATGAGCGCCCATTCCTGCATGTGTGGAAGCCAGAGGTTGACATCAAGCATCTTCCTCTATCGCTCTGCTCCCTGCCTTACTTTTGGGAGACAGGGTTTCACTGAAGCTGAAGCTCACCATTTTCTGCTGGACTAGCTGGCCAGCGAGACCCTGGGATCCTCCTGGCTCCCCGGCTCCACCCAGTGCTGGGTTCACAGGTACACCCTGCCATGCCTGGCTTTTATGGGGGTGCTGACCCACTGACCCATTTCCCAGGTTTCCCAGATTGTCCTTGTTTTATGAAAATACAAATGGTCTTGGAGAGCTTTTTATTTTTTCAAATTAAAACAGCAGCTCTTTTCTTTAGAAGAGAACGGTGAGTGAGTATTCTAAATACATCAATCAGTTGTCAACATGGTGGCATGGTCACATGACTAGAAAACATTTCCTTACCCTCCATTGTAAAGATCAGCCTAGTAGAACTTAAACATAGTTGCTGGATCATTGTGATACCAAATATAGAAACTTAGCTTGTGACCCAAAGTCAAGAAATATTTTTCTTAAACTAGCCAAGCCCTGGTAGACTTAGGTTTAGCATTTAACATCCTTTCACTAGAAACCTATCAGTCAGGCAAATATTTGTCTGTCTTTTATGGTATAGTAATGTACTATTATATTAATTTGATTTGGTGGATTCCAAATATTGAACAGAGAAATCCCATAACTAAATTTCTTTTTGCTATAAAAATGAGAGAAAAAATTGGACCCAGAAAATAATTCAGATAATTACAGAATTTATATCTAAAATGATGATGCAATTTGGAGAATTCATTTGTTCATTTTCAGTGACTAATCTTTTGTTCAGTTTCACAAAGGAGTAGATACAAGTAGGAATTAAAATAAGGTAGTTTAAATGCTAAAACTTTAAATGCAGATTTTCTTTAAATAACTTATTTAGTTCTGACCTGCTGGTTCACAGGACTTCTTATCTTCTGCAAGTTGGTATCCTTCAGTACAGGAGCAAATCACCTTTTTATCAGCACCGTTTTTACAAAACTGCATGCATCGGCCATTCTTAATTCTACATGTTACATCTAAAAGAAAATTAAATGAAAATAATGGCATCATCTGACATATATTTCTTTAAAAATTAAAAAATTGTTTTACTTATTCATTTTTTATGTGTGTGAAAGCTTTGCTTGCATGTATGTAAGATCACTCAATACCCATGGAGGGCAGAAGAGGCCATTGAATCCCCTGGAACTGGAGTTACAGTTGGTTGTCAGCTGTCATGTACCCACAGGGAATCAAATCTGGATCCTCTGCAAGAACAGACAGTTCTCTTAACCACTGAACAATCTTCCCAGTCCCTGACATAAATTTCTAAAAATTACATATGTGGGCCAAATATAGGTTTGGAGCAATCATGGTGAGAAACTTGAGAACCTTAAGAATAATAAAAAAAAATGCTAACATAAAATTCTCAGTCAGGCATAAACATGGTGTCAGCAATATTTTGATTTCTGTGTAAAATCCAATAATTGGCTATTATACTTTAACTACATCATGAAATGAAACTAGAAAGTAGTTTATTGAAGTATAACACAAATTCAAAAAAGTAGACAAGCTCTTGTGTAAATTTTCACAAACTAAATGCATCTGCTTAAAAACTGCACAGATTAATATATTGGACATTATCAAACCTTATAAGCCCCCTTTATGTTCTGTCCCAATCACTATACCTTTCCTCCTTTTCAAAAATTATCATTACCAGAACTTCTAGCATGGTAAACCATTTTGATAGTTCAAGAACTTTATATAAACAGATGCATATATATTCTTCTGTGTCTTTCATTTAACACTTTGTTTATAAGATTCATGTATGTGATTTTGTATAGCAGTAGATCATTTGCTTTGCTATGTAGTATTCCATTGTATTAGTATTATAGCTTTCATGCATGTAAGAAAGAAGACAACTTGCTCATGGGTAGTAGTTAAATGCAGACTCATAACTGGTCAAAGTGATGAGTATAAATAACTGTGTGCTCAGCTGTGGATGGGTCATGTATATTAACCCCCCCCCATCTAAGGGCTCAGGAAACTTCATGGAAGAGGTGATGGAGAGGGTGTAAGTTATGGTGGATGGTGACAAGAACTGTGAAAAGCTCTCTTCTGGACATAATAGGTCAGCTGCACTTATGTGCTCACAGCAGCTGTGGTTACCTGCACAAGACATGGACAAGCTCAAGCCAGTCAACTTTCCATCACATATTGGGCACCAGCCATCAGAGGAGTTATTGGCAGTTGAGAACGACTGAGGTAGGGAGAGTCACTTTTTTGAGGGGTGTAGGTTTCTCATGCCACAGTGGATGGCCATACACCCATGTGCATATGGGAAGCACTAATTGGGCTCAGGGGTTAATTAATTCCAAAAGATAACTTTATAAAAAAGGACATGACATTGAGAGCCAGGTGGGGTGGAGGAACCATCCTGAGATTTAATCTTTGCTGTCAATAATCCAGTGAATGCACGATCTAAAATGATGGCACTTGGTCTTTTGCATTCACTTGTTTTTTTTTTTAAGATTTTATTCATTATTTTATGTGTATGAGCGTATTGCATGCATGTATATGAGTGCACCCGTGTTATGCAATGCCTTCAGAGGTCAGAAGAGGGTGTTGCATCCCCTGGAACTAGAGGTAGAATGTTTGTTAGCTGCCATGTGGGTGTTGGAAATCAGACCAGGGTCCTCTGCAAGAATAGCCACTGCTCTTAACCGCTGAGCCATCTCTTCAGCCCCCTCATTTACTCACTTTTTGAGGACCTTTCTCATCATGAATGGTGATAACAACTCTAGCTATTTTCTTGTTAGTAGCTATTACACTATCATATTGTTGATACAAAGCAATACTGAAGTGTTCAACCAAATCAAATACCACCTTCTATAGAAAGTGTTCTGTCAATATGAAATTGTGATAAGTTAACAGGAATGGGTGGTGGAAACAGACTGGTTTTGTCCAGGGCATGCACAACAGGAATGAGTAAACTTGGTGTGATTTTTCTATTCTGATTCTGTGTTCTTGATTAAGTCAGCAGACCTCTAATCATTTTTTTATTTGCCATTGCCTTTTACCCTTGGTCTCTGGCTTGGTTTCTACAGGTGGTGGTAAGTATTGCTGTATCATCAGTAGTCTTTTGCCTGCAGGCAAAGGGCTCAGGATTCCAGGAATGAAATTATAGCACAAGGAATTCCAGGGGAGAGGTCAATAGAGAAGGACCTAAGAAACAGAATGGGACTCATTCATCAATTATTGAGTACTTAGATGTCACACACTATGCTGGGTATAAGTTCTCTTTGGTTCAGAGACTAGTCTCAGTGTGTAATATACCTGTTAAAGAAAACACATCTGTTTTTCTCCCTATAGGTTAGCCACCAAGTTCTTTCTAATCCCTTTCATGCCTACTTAGATAAATTATAGTTTTCTTTATTTATTTCTGATGTCACTGATTTGCCAACTTGAGCTTTAACAAAACTTGTTCTACTTAACAAGTTTATCACAATGTGTTATTTACCTAAACTCAACAGTTTTCCTCCATCACACATATATTACATAATAAATAAGTCATGCCTGTGATGGGCTGCAAAAATGAAAAAAATAGTATTCCTATATTAGTAATTTTTTCCTTTTTGTCGGGAAATGCTTCTTGTAGTCTTTAGAAGGAGCAAGGATGAGAAAATTCTTGAAGACCTTCAGCTGTCTGATAACGATTTGGATTTGTTGTGCAGCCAAGGACACACAGAGATCTTTAATCTAGACAAAAGGATCCAATAGCCAGTTAATTCTTGTTCTTCTAACTAGAAAGCATGCTCTGAATGCTTGTACCTCAGTCTCCTGACTAAGAGTCTAATGAACAAGGAACAAGGAAATCAAAAAGGCCATAATAATAGAAGTCTTTCCTTTTCCAAGGTAGGCTAAGGCAAGGGACTGGGCGGACCACATACATAGAAACTGTGCTATTTTGTGACTTTAGATTGGTTTTCAGTTCAGCTTGAGGCAAGAAGCTTAAGTGGGAGCTTGTATATGCTTTGTCGTTGCTTTCCACTGCTGTCTGAGATAAAGAGCATTTGACACAATTCCCTTTTTGTTTCTAAACCCGCTGAGCTGAAGATATTTTTTTCCCACAATTGATCAGATTGGTTGGGTCAGATCAATGTACCCTAGAGGCCAAATGTGGTGGTGACTGCACTTCAGTCACAGAACCCTGACCAAACAGAAATGTGGGAACCGAGAAGTATTGAGATGTTGCCAGTTGTAGATTCAGCACTCTTTCTCTGTGGACTGTAATCTCCCATATACAGTGAATCCTGTTATAGAAATTCTGTGCTTATGTTCACATTCCTCGAGGCTGTTCTCTTCCTCCTTTTAAAGTATCTGTCTTTTAAAACTAGATAGAGACATTTATATTTTCAGTGATAGTTTACTGCACTGTGTCCTTCAACTGCTACAGAGACTAATTGAATTATTCATTCCTTCAGCTCCAGTAGTTGTATTATTTAAACCAATAATGAGTAATTACTCCAAATATTCCTGTATGTGTCCAGAATATCAAGATTGAATTTCCCTAAGTCTGAATTTGAAATTATAAGTTCTCAGAAAAATAGCATTTTAGAGATGCTAACTAATTAACACACTCACAGGAGTGGTAACTCTGGCATTGGTTTAGCTCCACCCCAGGAAGCCTAAAGGAATTCAAGTACAACCCCAGTGCATAGTTCACCTGCTTGCATGCGCTCTTCTTTCTTTTTAAATTCTTTTGTCCTGTCAGCTTCTCTTTTTATTCTAAGATCTTTCAGATCTCAAAGGAAGATGATCAATGTATTTTCCCTTAGTACTGAAAGGATTTCTGAGCAACATTACAGGGACTTTTCTCTCTTTTCTCAATAGGACAAGTGCAGCTGCACCTTTCATTTCATTTTATGCCTTTTTCATCTGTCAAAGAGATGGCTATATTGCCTTCATAGTGTCCGGCTAATTTTCTACTCTTTATCCTCATCATGTAACCTGGGGTGTTAATTTCTTTCCCTCACATTGCATCTCTATTCTCCTAGAGTTTCAGCATGCAGAATCTGTTCTTAGTACTATCTGCTTTTCTCAGTCATAATATCAGTGATATTGTATCCATAGGTAGTAATCAAGTAGGTAAAGATCTTTGGGGCTTACTGTCCAAATGATCAAAATCTCAAAAGTAAATATTCTAAGCTATGAGAAGAAAACTTACACAAAAATCTTAGATTTTCATGCTATTTTTTTATGCTACATTTTGATATAACCGATCTTGTCAAATTGAGGAATAACCTCTAATTTTTACACAGATTTAACATATGAAATTCTTTGTACATGTGGAAGAGTTCCTAATTAGCCCGTCATACCTCTGTTCTGCATGTTACTCACGCCACCTAGCTTGATACCAATTTAGTCACAATTTCAAACAATTTTAAGGGCTCGGCTTTCTCAGAGTTTTGAGTATAGTAAAACTGAAGTTCAAATCCTGGCTCAACCATTTATGCTTCTGAGTTTTGAGGCGTTGAAGCTGCAATTTTCTCAGGTGCATAAAATAGGTATAGTAACAGACAGCACTGACCACATATGACTGCATTAAGCATTAGTAATTAAAAAGACTGGAAGACATTGCCTTTATACTATCTACTTAGTTTTATTATTGTTTTAACACAGTTTCTTGAACTCATATATTGAAGACTGACTATAGAGAAAGTGAATGTTTATAAGCTTTGAAAGTATATTATAAAGAGAAACTTATTACATGTAAATATTTCATTTTCCTGTTTCATCTGGTTTAAAAAGGAAACTTTGAAACATGAATAATAAAAAAGTTACTTACCTAATTCACAGTTCCTTCCTTCAAATCCAAGTTGACACCAACATGCATAGGAATTAATATCATCCTTGCAAAGTCCACCATTTAAACATGGATTTGACTCACACTGATCTCCATCTTTGAGATAGGTTAAGAAATTGAATTATCAGATAAAGTTCTCAGATGCCCAGCCCTCCCCTGAATAGACTTCTGAAGGCAGGACTCAGATTTTAGGGTCAGTGAAGGACTATGGAGGTACAAGCCACTGTATGTAAGCAACTGATGCACCTCCTTTTGAGTTTCTAAACACTACTGCAGCAAAGGTTTGAAGGCCAATGCCATCGTGAGAAGTTGCACTGAAGAAGACAAGCGCATTTTTTACCATCCAAGGGAAGAGGGAGAAGGATATACTTGTATGGAAATGTAGTATATCATCAGACAGTGATCTTCAGTGTTTCTTTATGCAATGGTAACAGGTTAACAGTAAATAAAATGGAATCACTTTAAGAAATATCTATATTTCATTCAAAGGCATTTTACTGCAAGTCTTGCAGAGCAAGCTGAGTTACACAGTAAAGGTACTTCCACTCAAGGAACTGGCACCCTAGGCACAGAGCAAATGCATGTACGTCGTTCTGTTGCCTTTTAATGCTTACATGTCCTATGAAGCAGGGGTCAATAACAATAGGAAAGATGCCAAAAGTATCTGTTACTGCTTAAAGATAGTTTACTATCTACAAGTTAGGTCCCAAATGGGAAACAATGTTCAGTGTATTAGCAGAAACTACATATTCCCTGATGGGCTTTATTTATGAATAGATTGACTGTTTCCATTCTACTTTTCCTGAAGGTTTTACATTTACAGACCATTGAAGACACTGCTAGAAAACAGGAGGAAGGAGTAGGCAAGAGATGGATCAAGTTGAGAAGGGACCGTTAAGTCTGTTTTTTTAGTGTTTTGCTTCAATTCATATTTCTAAGGAAGGTTCAAAGTGAAAAGGATGAACACAACCAGAAGGGACAGTGGTATGCGCTTTGCGCTATGAAAAATAAACTTGAAGAAAAATCGCTACCTAGCTAGGTCTGTAAGACTCTGTATATGAGAAAGAAATCCGTAAGAGATAAAATGACACCAAAGATCAAAGAAAGAGAAAAGGAAGGAATCAAAGAGAAATTTCTTGTTATTAGTTATACTTTATAGCCAAACTCCTTGACATCTAGTGTGTAGATGCCTGCCTGTTCTCCCTACTCTCTGATGGAAGCATGAGTTCAGGTTCCATTGACTAAAGGACCAATATCCCTTTTCAGAAATAGACTCTCTGGGAAATTGGATTGCTGTAAAAATTAGACCTGGTCCCCTCTGCCCTTTGATCCAATGTACTTTTGTCCAGATACTGCAATTTGTTACAATTCTATGAAAACAGAATACGTTATCTCTGGTTTATTATTATTGATGCTCAGAACTGGTCTAAAAACGAGCTACATTTGTACTTTATATTATAGACCAACAAATCTGAATTATTTAGGATGTTTCACTGAAAGGGTCTGGGCTTACAGCCAGCCACACAGGAAACTCATTTGCTGAGACATATCTTCAAAAGGAGTGTCATTTTATCCTGCATTTAATCCTCCTTTGGGTTCTTGTCTATTTGTACTGTACGCCAAGACAAAGCTATAGTCAGTGGGGGTCAAAGACAACAGAGGACAGGGCCTTGCCAAGTTAAAGATTCTTTTTTTTTTTTAAAACTCTGATAGGTTTTTAGGTAATGAATCATTTGAAAGATGGAAGGTATAATAGTGAAAGCAAGGGGTTGGTAAGGAATTTGGACTCTTTTCTGGGCCTTGTGAATTCCTGGCTGGGTGATCCTTAGTAAATCCCTTACCCTCTTTTTTTTTCTTTTTATATCAAAACATATTTTATTCTGGACCTCTTTCAAATCTGATTCAAATTACAGTTGTCAAAGCAATACAATGCAAGGGGAGAACTGCAATAAAAACAAAACACACAAAAAATGTGCCTGGAAAGGGTCAAAGGGTCAGTGGGGACAAATCACTGTGATGTGGAACCAAAGTACATTGTAAGTGTCATTGACACTTACGTCCAGGAGAGCAGAGACATCTTATCAGTTATCCTTACACAACCATCATGGAAACCGAACAATAAAAGTTCTTTAACTTGTATAAAACATTGTCATGGGCTGGTTTACACTTTTACAACAGCTTTAAATTACTGGATAACCTAAGAAAAGATGCAGACATTTTCATCCAGTGCTATAGGAAGGCTCAGAGAATTAGACTCAAAGGATTTGACAAAACCAAAATGAAGACATGATATAGAGTTACCCTTACCCTCTTTAAGCCTCAGTTTTCTTCTCTGTGAAATGGAACTCATAATGCTTCGTGCATGGGGATGTTGTGAGGGTTAAATTTGATAGGCATTCTATAAACAACTTCTGTGAACTGTTCTGCAAAGTGCTTGACAGATGCCAGTTCAATCAGGCTTTGTATGATGAAGTAATGGTAGAAAATGACACATCAGGGAGGAGCCTGGGCACAGGCTCTTTCTGAGAAGTATAAATTACTTTTGTGGCAAGTGGGACTCTCAACCACACTTGAAAGGGCACATGGACTTTGCTTCTTTTGGTTCTTCATTGTTTTAGGGTTTGGTAATCAAAACAGTAGTGACAGAACCATGCCCTTGATGTTTCCTACATATCTGTAACCAAGGCATAGCAAACATTGCATCTAGCTGATGTAGAAAGCCATTGCCCAACTTCAAAATATGCTGCTGGGGCTGTGGCCAGGGCCTATGTGGGGTGGGCAATGAAGGATCATGAGAGTTCAAGTGTAGCTAGGAATACAGATATTGGAGAAGCAAACACTGAGATGATTTTTATTTCTTTGGTCTCTCCTCCTCCCCCCTCCCCCTCCCTTTCCCTCCCCCCCTTTTCTCTTGGCAGAGGTAAACATTGGATGCCCCTCTTCAATCGCTCTCCATCTGGTTTTCTGAGACATGATATCTCAGTGAACCTGGAGCTGAGTGATTAGGGTTTGGTGGTTTACCAGCAAGCCCCAGAGATCCTCCTGTCTCTACCTCCCCAGAGCTCGGGTTATGTGCAAGCGCCACCATGCCTGGTTCTGTTCCTTTTGGGGATTTTAATTTTTATTTTATGTGTATGGGTATTTTTCGTATATGTATGTAGGTGCATCATATGCGTGCAGTACCCATGGAAGCCAGAAGAAAACATCGGATTTCCTGGAGATGGAGTTACAGATGGCTGGAAGCCCACAATTTGGGTGCTGGGAACTGAATTCAGGTCCTTTGCAAGAACCGTCAGTACTTTTAACTGCTGAGCCAACTCTCCGGCCCTCCATGCCAAGTCCTTTAGATGGGAAAAGTTCTTTATTGATTGAGCTATCTCTTCTCCAACCCCTTGATTTGATTTTACAAACATGCTATAAACAATATTCAAAGCTTTGCTTCTACTGAATTAGTAGAAACAGAGAATATAAAGGCTTGCTTGGATGAAATTTGGGAGACAACTAAGAAGTAACTTTGGGCTTGGTAGCATTTATTCTTAAGAATAAGGAAAGATAGAGTGAACCCTTTTGTTATTTTGTGACTTAAAAACAGAAATATTCAGGGACTGGAGGCATATCTCACTGGTTAAGAGCAGAGGACCTGGGTTCTGTTCCTAGCACCCACATGGTGACTAACAACCACCTGTAACTCCAGTTCCAGGGGAATCTGATGGCCTTTTCTGGTCTCTGTGGGAATTGCATGCACAGGTACACCAACATACATTCAGGAAAAACATTCATACAAATAAAATAAAAATTAAGAAAGAAAGTGGAGAAATTATGAGGTGTGAGGATACGAGAATGTCTAGTATTACTCTAGCACAGGAACTGTAGAAAATAGAATTGTACCTCAAGTTCATAGAACTCAGTGAGTAGGATGTCCAAGTTAATTTGCTTCTGTCTGTGCAGGTAGCCTGAGGGAGATCAATATGTAAAACGTCCCTCAAAATTCATACTACTATATTATAATTTAAAAAATTTAAAATTTAAACAAAATTAAAAATATGCAAAACCATAAAATAAACAATAAAATAGATATGTGTTAAAGTATTACTTTTTTTACTTCTGGTCAACTCATTGGAGGAATATTTACTGACTTCCTCTGTTGTAGATGTTGTTCTAGATGTTAGGAATCCCATCAATAATGAAAACAGTTGACTCCTACCAAAATGAAGCTTTTATTCTAGTGGAGTGGGTAAAAAAAAAAATCAATGATAGTGTATGTAAGAAAATACAATAAAATACAATGACAGAAAAGAGTGCTGTAGACCGAGGACCCTGAAAGCTCAGTCTCCAAATCACTCCAAAATCCAAAATCCAAAATTTTTTGAGGACCAACATGATACCAAAAGTGGAAAATTTTATACCATGAAACTGTTTCATTCATAGAATTATTAAAATTATTGTTTGACATTATCTTCAGGCTATATGTATAAAGAATATATGAAATATAATAAAAAATCTATGTTTAGACTTGGGTCCCTGCCCAACATATCTCATTAAGTATATGCAAATAATTCAATATCTGAAGGAAATCCAAAATCTAAAACACTTCTGGTCCTAAGAAGATTGAATAAGGGATACTCAACCTGCAGTTGAAACAACAGATCAGGACACAGGTGTCAAGAGGGACAGAGCTGCCAGGGAGCAGGCCGAAGTCTCAATAAATGATCAAAGAAGGCCTCATGGAGTTGGTGACATTTGGACAAAGACCTGCGAGGTGAGAAAGTGAGCCTAGCAGGATTTGGGATGACTCAGTTGAAAGGAATAGCTAGATAAAGCCTTTAACATGGGAGCCTTGATAGGGTGTGCAAGGAACCTCTTGTATAAGGAGGAAAGTAGTAGAGGTGGGCAGAAGGGTGACAGGAAGTTAGGATAGGTGGAGGCATGATGGACACTGGAGGCCATCCCAACCATGAGGGTTTGAAGTAGGAAATGGGGCTAATCAGCATCCCTGTCTCCACTGAGGACTGCAAACTCCCATTTCCTTACAAAATGCAACCGTGCTTCCCTTCCTTCCTTCCTTCCTTCCTTCCTTCCTTCCTTCCTTCCTTCCTTCCTTCCTTCCTTCCTTCCTTCCTTCCTTCCAGCTTTCTGCAGAGGAGCCATACCACCGGGAAGAGTTAGCTTATCCTCCAGCTGCTGTTGCCCATGCTGGATATATACCTGCAGTGAATAACTATTTAGTCTTGGGTTAAAGAGACTGATTTTTCTGAGCCCTTTTGACATCGTTTAACTTATCATATATTTATACAGAGAGAAAGAAATGGTTTTCAAATGCTTCAGATAGTAGCTAGGAGATGAATTTAATTGCTTACCAACATAGTTCTTCCAAAATTCAGTCTATAAGAAAAAATAGAGGAAAACTTAATGATAGTATTTAAGGTATTTTACACTGATTCCTTTTCTTTTATAACATTTATGATATAAATATATGTTTAGCTATTTTGACATCCCAAGTAGAAGTTTCTTTTCAATAAATTTAGGGTTTTAACCTTTGCTCTGAGGTGCATTGATCTGGTATTATGTGGAAATACTCACAGCTTTTTCAGTGTTTTCAAAAACTTCTCGTGCTTCTTCAAAACTACACCTTTCTTCTAAACATTCTCTCTCAAGGTTTCCTCGAACAAACTCCTCTAGTTTCCCTGAATTATACCTCTTCGGACGGTTCAGAATTTTGGAGGCATTTTCATGATCAAGAAAAACTGAAATTTAAAAGAAGAATTCTTCAGTTTTAGAGAAAAGAAAACACTGTGACAATTAAATGTGTCTTTTAAGAAAGGCTTCGTTTTTGGTCCAAGTAAACCCACAGCTAATTTCTGTTTGGGGCGTGGAGCCAAAGTCTGTGGTATTCCCACAGTATGCATGCACATGGAGTTTTTGGAATTAAACTGATTTTGGAATCAGTTTTACTTTTAGTCAGGAGAGCTCCCATAATGAACAGTCATATATTCAATCCTATTTGAATTTAACTTCGGATAAAAAAGTTCTTAAACAGTCAAGACCACACTTTGTCATCGCCTGAAAACAGCGCTTTGCAGATCCTCCCAAGGTGATCTATCACCTGGCTTGACTGTTTTCAGAATACGGTCACTCAAAGACTTTGCAACAAATATCTCTTGAAGAACAGAAACCTAATTATGGACCAGTTGCAAATGGGACCCTCTCACTGGATAGCAAAGAAAAACCATGGATTTGGTTGTTTTTATCTTCAGGCCCACAGTACCTTTACTTGACATATATTATAGTAATTCCAGTGATGTAAGCATTTCTCTGAAATTCAGGATGTGGTTTATTTTCACTATGCTAGTTTGTAGGAAGATTTCAAAATTTTAGAGGATTGAAAACTTTATCTGAATTTTCTGCTTTCTTTCCTTTACCTCCCCTTCTGTGTCTGTCTGTCTGTCTGTCTGTCTGTCTGTCTGTCTGTCTCTCTCTCTCTCTATATATATATACATATATATGTATATGAACACATATGTGTAAATGTAATCATTTCTATTTGTATATGTGTGTATATAATGTGTATAATTGTTAACAGAAACTCTAGAAGCTGCTGTTTCTTTCCTCAAGAGATCAGCAGTCTAACTGATAATATCTCAAAAGGCCAAGTGCTTATAAATGGAACTTTCCAGGCATTTAGGACTACTTTCTCATAAACTCAAAACAAAAAAAAGAGAAAGAATGGAGCTCATTTTTATTACCTTATTTTTGTTGTAGCTATTCCCTTTTAAAAAAATGTTTTATTTATTATTTTTATTTTATGTGTATGCATGTATTGCCTGTAGTAGGTAAGTGCACCCGTGTCATGCAATTCCCTGAGCAGACAGAAGAGGCTGTTGGATCCCATGGAACTGGAGTTACAGACAGGTTGTTAGCTGCCATATGGGTGCTGGGACTCGAACCCAGGTCATCTGCAAGAACAGCCAGTCTTCTTAACCTCTGAGCCATCCATCTCTCCAGCCCCTGTAGCTGTTCTCTTTATGGACTGTTATAGTCCCTTGACATCCTTGCTCTACAATTCTCTCCCTCCCTGAGCTTAGCCTAGATATTTTTCTTTCATCCCTTGTCAATGCTGTGCTTGCCCAGCAATCTTGAGATCAGGCAGGTGTACAGCTCACTAAGTTGCCCATGAGCCTCTTCATGCATTATTGTCTCTGAGCTCCCCCAGCAATTAATTTGCTTTGTTCTGGTCACCTCTAAGGAACATCCACATCTGTATTGATTTATAGTTGTAGAGGAGTGAAAAAAACAGGGTTTGAGATCAAATCAGACAGGCCTTGAATCATGTATCTAACTCTTATTGATTGTATGGACAAGTCACATAATGTCTGTACCTTGACTTTCTCAAATGTAAAATGGACATAACAGCAGTGTAATGAATGTTTACCTCACCTTGCTGTTAACAGAACCCATGAGACATACTGAAGACTGGTGTATCCTGGTTCCCTCACTTTCTTCCCACTTCTCTCATGCTAGCCCTTTGTCTTCCCTTAACTTTCTCAATTTTCTCTAGCGCTACAATGCACTTCTGTATTACCTTTTCTTCCTTACTGTCCCCCATATGAGAAAATAACCATTGTCACAATCAGGAGCAGGCTCCTAAAGAATAACTGACTTTGTGTATTTCCTGACTCTCCGCGTTATGTAATAAAGGATCAGGGCCTGGATTTAAACTCTGGCAGTTAGATTAGAGAACCCATGGTATGCTGATATTATCATATTATACTTAACCCCCAAGACATATACCTCTCCTAAATCTTTCATATGCATGTGGGTATTAAATCATATCAGCTCTACTTCATTATTATCACTCCAATCTCCAATTTTTTCTCTACAACTACTGTCTAGGTTCTGCTTTTTTATTTCCTTTGGATGATTGTAAGTGCCTTTAACGTTATTCTCCCTAGTCTGGGCCACAATCTGTTCTTTGAGCGTTTCTAGGCTGAGCGTTATAATACAGTCAGGTACGTACTTCTTATGTCTATATTCCTCACACTTCTACATTACATTCTATTGTCCAGTATCCTTAGCTTAGGCCTTTTATTATCTGATTCTCTGGCTCACCAAGTTTTCTTACCTCATTTGTGACTGTCAGTATTCAAACAAGATCAAGTGTCTGAAATACTTTACATTATTGTAGATGTGGCTCTCTGTGAGGGTTACTCTCTACATTAGTGCTCCAGAGCAGTAATTTTTATTACATTTAATTGTGTGTGTGTGTGTGTGTGTGTGTGTGTGTGTGCATGTGGTGGTCAGAAGACAACCTGTAGATGTCAGGTTTCTCCTTCCACCATGTAGGTCCTGGGTGTTGAACTCTACTTGACAGCTTGATGGCAGGCAGGTGTCTTTATGCACTAAGGCATCTCACTGGTTCCAGATCACACATTTAAGAACAGTGAACTGCTACACATTTCTTGACATCTTGTTCCAAACATTGTCAGATGTTTCCCATTCATTGTGTTCCTTTCTTTGTGCTACCTTAGCATGTGGTACATATTTTGTCCCGTTGTAGTGAAATCTCTTTCCTGACCTCATGGTGCTTTAGGTAAAAAAGGGAGCCTGGTTTATCCCTATGTCACTAGTACCCTGCCACAGTACCAGGCACCATCATGCCTGAATGAGAGAAAGTAATATATGAATGAGATAAAGATAGTTTTCATCCACACACTGTAAAACAGAGTTGGTTTCAGAGAATAATTTTGATTTCAAAATTTTCAAATTTGTGGGCAGATATGGTGGTACATGCCTTCAATCCCAGCACCTGGTAGAGGCAGAGGCAGGCATATTTCTGTCAGTTCAAGGCCAGCCTTGTCTACATAGTGAGTTCCAGCCCAGCCAGGGCTACATGTGACACCCTATATAAAAAAGTAAATTCAAATTGGCACAGAAATGCAATAGCCATGCACACACAATGTTTTGTTTTTGAAGCTCATGATGGTTTAATAGAAGCGAGTGCTTCTCAATGACTCCAGAATCCCACTGCTTTTCTCCTCAGCATTGTCTGAAGATCATACATTTAACATTCCTTCTGAAAGATTTCTAGTCATTATTGCCCCAGCTCTGAAATCCTGGTTCTTCATTGTTTCTGTCATTCTACCATTACCTGAGGACTCCAGGCAGGCAGCATCCTGCTTGCACCCTCCAGCATCTCATCACTTATTCTAAGAAAGAGTTTGGATCTTTTTTCCTCACATAGGCCACACTCTTGAGATATGTCTAATAGCCTGACTTTATGGCCCCGCTTCATGAATTTTCTGACATATTTTCTTCATTTCTTAACTCTACCCACTTTACTAGTTCAATTTAACCTTTGCATTTGGACATCATTATTTCAGCATTTCAGTCTGATTCCACAGTTGACATCATGTCTGGAGTGGAAAACAGAGGATCAGTCTGTTTTCTGGGGATGCTTAAGGTTGGCGCCCCTGATCCTGGCACTGTCAGCTGCTAGCGTTGATTTTTAGTAGGTTGACAAGTAAGTGTGATAAATGTGTCCTGTGTGAACATGCTCTTTATCTAAATTGACTAAGTTCTCTGTGTGCCTTCCTCTGGGGAGTATAGATATAGTCACTTTGTAGTTGCAAAAAAGAAGGCAAACAAACCAATGTGATGTACTTTGCATTAACTAAATTCCTATTCTTTCTATCGAGTTGTAGACTTGCTTTTGTCCCTTAGGGAGCCCATTTGAGTATTGAGGTTCCCTAAATATCAGTCGAGACACATGGAATCACAGATGAACTGATTTATTCTCAGTTCATGTAAAAATTTTCATGATAATAACTTACTAATGAAAGATTAATCTAATTTTAACTAAAACACTAAATCGTAGGTATACAATTTCGAACATTGAAACCATGCTTCACTTTATAGGTCTAAGATTTTGAAACACATTATGTATATTCAAATAAGATTTTTTATGTAAATAAGACCATAGTGGTTTTGATGTTTCCCCTTTTGCTTTCAAGATGATGAGTCTGAAATCTCAAAATAACATTTTTTTCTGCTTATTCTCTGCAATTACTTTGTTAAGACATTTCCCACTTTCAACTTTTAAAAACCAAGGAGATAAATACATTTTTTTTAAAAAAGAAAAATTACATTGTTAAATCATAATCTTAACAGTATCCATTAAATAATATACATTGAAAGCACTGTAAATTTCATTGCTTTTATAAGGGAAAGCAGTTACCAGAGAGCCAGTACTTACGAACTAATATGCTGCCCGTTAGACTCTAAAACATAGCTGTCAAATCATGGAATCATCATTTAGTGAGATTGTGTGGAATATTTCTGTAATGAAATGAGAAGCATATTCAATGTAGCTTTGAAAAGGAAACGAACCTGAACATTCAGCACTGAGTAGATATCCTAAAAAGCAGATGGTGATGAGGCCCGGTGATTCGGCCATGATGGTGTTCAGGTGCTGCATGACCTTTGTTAGTGGATTGTGTAAGTAGCTGGGCTGATCAATTGTTCCAAAGTACAAGCTGAACTTAATTTACTTCTGGGAAATATTGTCTATTTCCCCAGTGGGTCTTTGGGCTATTTCCAGTGGCCTCTTTAGTTAAATGAAGAGAATGGGCAACGATCAACATTAAGGTTCATCTAGGATTTCAAAGGCTTCTGCCACCGTGGTTGACATGAGGCCGAAGCAGCAAGTAGAGCAGAGACACAGGTTCACAATGGGGCTGACTGTGGTAGCTACAGCTCTTGTGGCAGCAAAATTCATCAGTGGGAATTCATTTTCTTTGTTAGAGAGAAATAAGAATTTTAAAATGAAAAGAGACAACAATAACAAATCATTCTATCCCTTACCTTAAAACACCTTCAAATATGTTTATAAACTGAGTTACCTATTATGTTTCACTATAAGCTTCCTTTCTGGTACTCTTCATGTGTAGAATGAAAGTTCAGTGTGCCAAAGTATTTTTGTCACTGAAGAATTTTCACTAATAATTTTGATAATGTAGGTTTCATGTTATATTTTCTCAGATTATATTTATTTGAAAATACCTGTTTTACCTTCATTTGAAAAAGGTAATAATTTTGGCTGGTCATAGAATTCTATATTGAGTAATTTTCCTCTCTTCAAGAATATGCAATATGTTATTATCTTCTGGCATCCATTATTCCTATCATAGTTTTTCAGAAACTGACTATATTAACATAAAATGTTCTTATGTTTTATTGAGATTCATGTATCTGTGGTTTGAGATTTTTATTAAACTGTGTAAAAATTTTGGACTTTAATTTTTGTTTTGAAATAATTATAGAGCCTCTGGAAATCGCAAATCTCCCCTGCATCTCCTGGTTTATACTCACATTTACCTCCCTTCCCCCAGTCATCCTAACTTCTGGTGTTAGTAATCTGCTTTGTCTGTATGACATAATGCTGCATAAAGGAATCATGCAGTAGTAGATGACCAGTTGATGGTAGCTTTTCTTGTTCAGTGCAATACCTTTGAGATATCTAGGCTGTTGCATGTTTCAAAGGTGACTTCCTTTCTATTGCTGACATGATGAGGATGTAGTTTAAATATTCACCTACCATGGCAATTTGATTGTTTCCACTTGTTTTGCTACTGCAATAATGTGATTTAAGCATTCATTGTAAGGCTTCTGTATAGAAGTAACTTTTAAAATTCTCTGCACTAAATGGTCCGTATTGCAATTCCTTGATTATCTAGTACTTACATGTTTAACTTCTTTTATGCTATGAATAGCATATTATTTATTTTAAAATATTTTTATTGATTCTTTGAGAATTTCATATGATGTATTTTGATAACATTCAGACCCATATGCTCTTGAGTATGGGTCCTATCCTTTGTAGTCAACACCCTAAAAGAAAATTGATGCTTCGTCTCCTAGCAACTATCAATTGTCAATAGATCCTTAGCTAGGGTTGGGGCTTCCTGCCCACCTCCCCGACACATGCTGTGTTTTTGTCTGGTTTGAACTTGCACAGGTCTTGTGCATTCTATTACAAGTGCTGTGAGGTCATATGTGCAGCTACCCTGTGGTGTCCAGACAGCACAGTTTCCTTGTATTCATCTACCACCTCTGGCTCTTACAGTTTTTCCACCTTCACTTCTGCAATGATCCATGAGCCTTGGGAGGAGAACATGTGATATAGGTGTCCTATTTAGGTCTGAGTACTCTGCAGTCTCTTATTCCCTACATATTAATCAGCCATGGGCCTCTGTATTAATCACCATCTGCTGCATGAAGAAGCTTTTCTGATGAGAGTTGCCTTATGCAGTAATCTATGGGTATAGCAATAAGTCATTAGGAGTTTAATACTGTGTCTGTTTAGCAGAATGATAGTAGTGGCATATGACTTGTCTAGTCACAGGTGTTTGGTCTTGATAACAGTGTCATTTATGGACTCTATCTTGTGAACCAGGCCTAAAATTCATTCAGAAGCTGTTTGGTTGCTCCCATAATATTTGTGCCACAGTTGCACCAGTGGACATACCTTACTAGGCCCATAGTTATTGCAGCTCACAGGGTTCACTGCTGGGTAAGGTTGATGATTACTTTTCTGATAGCAAGCATAGCACCTTCTAGCACTATGAAAGCTGTTGAGAAGACATGAAATTTTGAGATCAGTACCAACATGATTTCTTCTTGTTTGAGCTATGACTCATGTATGTAGTATGTTCAGAAATAGGGTCTTACCATCATAACTTCTTTAAAAATTCCCATGATCCAGATTCTCTATATCCTAGTGAATATTTGTTGCTGTCACTATTTTTATCTTTTTGCCATTCAGGTCACTGTGTGGTGCTATCATATTTTATTTTATTTTATTTTTAATTATTTATTTAATAACCACATGATTAGAAGAAGTATTTCATTACAGCTTTAACATATTCAATAACAATTTCCAGAGCAAAGATACATCTCTTTCAAAAGTGGCTGTA